AGGTATGTCCGGATTAATTGAATAGACTGAGCCAGAATGAAAATGCCGTCTAAATATATTATAAGATGTGAGCTTGGTGAAGCACCATGGAGCGAAGACAGTCCGAATGGGAGGCACCTGAACCTCTATTTACTGCCCTACCATGTAAATTGCAGGAAGTTCTCGATCTTGATGTTGTACTGGGATAGGCACTGTGAGATATGCCTCCTGCAGATCCAATTTGGCCATCCAATCTGCTGGTTGGAGAAGATCCCTTAAACAATGCTCTCCTTCCATCTTGGAAGTGCTGACATGCTCATAACTATTGAGCAGTCTCAAATTTATTACTGGACGGATACTTTTGCCTTTTTTGGGAAACAAGAAAAGGTTGCTCACGTAACCCAGGGTATGCGCCAGAATCTCTACAATTGATTGTCCACAGAGACAAGGTCTGTGTCTCATTGGGAAAAACAATTTCCCTTGATGGGGAACATTGAACAAGTAGAGAAAGGAAGTCTATGCAATACCCTTTCACAGTGTGAAGAACCTAAGCATCTGATGAAATGAGTGATCATACATGGGAAAATGTGTGAGCCTGCCCCCACTATCAGTAAGAAAGAATGGAAATTGTGAAGACGTCTTAGGAGCACCTCTTAGGCCACTAACAATCCAGGGTCGGCCACTTTGTGAGAAGGAGGTTGGTATAGTACATTGTTCAAAGAAATCGGCTCGGCAAGTATAAGAGCCTTGGTTCTGTCTAAAAGAACTTCTGTTTGTTTAGCAGGACAAAGGAGCCCGATTCTTTTACAAAGTTGTCCTCAAAGAGAAAACCTTTTGCCTGTGTTATCTGGCTCGTTTGGGCTCAATCTTGAGCAAGATCGATTTGTGGCGTTCTGTGACAACCGCATTGTTGGCGTTGCCAACTTAAATCACTCTCTGGATCTAACCACTTAAGATGGTGCAATCTAATTCTAGATCATCCTCCACTGCTTCAAAGATCTTGGCTGCTGAGCCCAAGATGCCCAGGATTTTATCCTGACAGTTTTGCAATGAAAATCTAAGCCTTTAGATGGCTTCCATCCTGTCTTACTCAGGAATTGAATGCTTTTAGGATTGACTGATAGCGTTTAACATGAGTCATCAGGGACTGTTCGGCGTGGCCATTCAGCCCGCAATTTATTTCACTTTGCCTTCTCAAAAGGCTTGCGTACTCTGGATGCAATATACTTGGCTACATGGTCTGAGGAGACCACTGGGTGACATAGGTCGTCAGGTTCAAATAGGGGTTCACATTGAGTGTCCAAGATCCTATCGGTGTCCCTGAGTCTGCATAATCTACCTAAATCTTGGTAGGTTTAACAGGACGTGTATCCCAAACGGGATTAGCATCCTCTTCATCAGTAATTTCATAATCAGGATCAGAAATATCCTCTGAATCCTTCATATAGGACCCAGGGAACTCCTCCTCAATATCACTGAGCTCAGATTCAGAGTTCAGTTGGGCTTTTGCCCTTTTCCAGTCTAGTCGATTTTGCCTGACTAGTAGCTCTTTTGCGCGGTGGTAAATTTATCGCGCCATCCGTGACAGGTATGGAACTGTCCATCTTTATTGTTTTGGAGGAGTGTTTAGCCTTATATGAGGCCTTGCGGCCAGGCTGAAGCAGAGCAGGTGTGAGTACAGATACACCTCCATATAGTACTCAGGGAACTCCTCCTCAATATCATATAGTACTCAGGGAACTCCTCCTTAATATCCCTGAGCTCAGATTTAGAGTTCAATTGGGCTTTTGCCCTTTTTCAAAGTCTAGTCGATTTTGCCCGACTAGTAGCTCTTTCGCGTGGTGGTAAATTAATCACGCCATCCGTGACAGGTTTGGTACTGTCCATCTCTATTGTTTTGGAGGAGTGTTTAGCCTTATATGAGGCCTTGCGGCCAGGCTGAAGCAGCGCAGGTGTGAGTACAGGTACACCTCCATATAGAACTCGGTGAACTTCTCCTCAATATCAGTGAACTCGGATTCAGAGTTTAATTGGGCTTTTGCCCTTTTCCAAAGTCTAGTCGATTTTGCCCGACTAGTAGCTCTTTTGCGCGGTGGTAAATTAATCGCGCCATCCATGACAGGTATGGTACTGTCCACCCCTATTGTTTTGGAGGAGTGTTTAGCCTTATATGAGGCCTTGTGGCCTGACACCAGGGCCTTGTCATTGCTTTTGCCATGGAAGTGTCAATTAAAGCCTGCATGTCAGCAGGATCAGTAAAGCAGAAATTCAGCCTCATCTCCAGAGATACCTGGAGAGGCTTCTACATTAATCTGCATGTTTGCTGTAGACCCAGAAGGCACAGAAAGATCCTGTCAGACTGCATCATAAATATACAAACAAACCTAAGGGGCTGAATAAAGCAAAATAATACCAAAAGTAAAGGGTTGAGTAACCCTCAAGTAAAAAATAAATAAATAACTAAACAGGATAAAGAAATGAAAGTACTCACAATAGTGAAAAAATAGCAATTGTAATATAAAAACAAAGGAGCTGCCCGGCTGCCACTACAACTAAACCCCAACTTGGATTTCTGGCAGTTGGTGGCAGAGCAGCAGCCAGACAGATAAATGAAGGGAAAAAACAGCACAATGGCCCTGTGCAGGGGATAAAGATCCTCAAAGACGTCCCTGAGCCCCAATTGATGGTAATCTTGGGGCCAGGGAGGTCAGAGGGGAAATACATTATCAAAGGATATATAATAAAGCATATAACAGACGCAAATGAAGTAAATAAATCAAATTACGTTAAAATGAAGTAACTAAATATATGTATACACATGAAAATATTATAATTAAAATGTAATAACTATATTAATCACAGTAATGATATGAATAAAGTAAAGTAAAAGATCCCACAGTTAAGAACCGTGGGACCCAGTGTCACTTAACTGAGGTAGCAGCAAAGAAAGAGGAAGTAGTATACTGGACACCGCCTATTATGCTATAAAGAGGATGCTGATTGGCTGTTGCTGTTGCTATGAAGATATACCTCATGTTATTTACTGGTTTCTTTTATACTGATTTAATGTTATTTTTCTTTGCTGCTGAGGTAAATAAAGAAAGAGTGCAGCATAATAGGAGCCTCCGTGTCTTAATAAAATTTGGAATTGTATCTTCGATTCTGGGAAGAATTTATCTAATATCATTTACGAGAATGACCATACTGATTTCGAAATGTTCTTGTTAATTGTCCAAGATTAAGGTAGTTGTAAATATCTTGTTTTGATCAAATATACATGTGTTATATAACGTAGAATTATAATAAGAAACAGCTGCTCATAACTTGTGAAAAACAATGTCATTGTCACGCCCATATGCTCATTTTTCCCCCTCCCATTCTGCTATGAAAATGGGGTATAAATATAACTGACATATGAATACAATTTGAATTGGTTATTGAACACGTCTCTGCTATTCATTTCCAATTTCCAGAGTTCTGAATGAGTTGGCAAATATCCATCATCCACAAAGGGCCCGGGTTGATTTTATCCCCAACAATGCTCTGCATATTCCCTTGCTATAATCACTCCTAAGCTCTTGTAAGAGCTTGTTCCTGTTTCGCTCTGATTGAAGAGAGGTTCGGCCTGCAGTGGTTGTGGTATTTGCTAGAGTGCTTGGAGCCCTCATCCTTCAACGGAGGTACCCAGTCGGGGTGCCAGGTGATCCATAACACTTGTTCTATACGTATGGAAATCTTCCGCACCTAAGAACCTTAAAGGGACTGGTCTTAGGTGTAATGGATATGTCCTCAAGCAATTCCTGAAGCAGATTTCTCCTTGACATTTCCTCGTTTTGCAATGAGAAGAACTTTTCATGACTCAGGTGCGGCTGGTAATTTTATTGATTTATATTTTGTTAAGAAACACACTATACCAGTCAAGGAGAGATCATCACCTCTAGCAATTGAGGCTATTGATGGGAGACCCCTATCTCAACCATTGATTACCCATGAGACCTTGCCTATTTGTATTACGATAGGAGCTTTGCATAAGGAAGACATTACCTTCCAGATACTCGCTTCCCCTTTTTGTCCCATCGTATTAGATTTCCCTTGGCTCATCAAGCATAACCCTCATATTGACTGGACTAAAGGGGAATTGACTGGAATGGAGTAAAGACTGTCAGGAAAACTGCATGTTTCACATTACTAAAAAAGTGGGCATTGTTGCTTTACCCGCTGCTATGTCTCTGACCCCCAAAATTCCCATACAGTATTGGGAGGTTAGGGAGGCGTTTAGTAAAAGCCAGACTGATGTTCTTCCTCCACACAGGTCATACGATTGCTCCATTGATCTGTTGTGCAGGGCTATGCCTCCTAAGGGGGCAGTAAATGCCCTATCTCTACAAGAAAGTAAGATCATATATGAGTACATTAAAGAATCGTTAAGAAAAGGCCATATACGTAAATCATCCTCGCCTGCTGGAGCAGGATTCTTTTTTGTAGCTAAAAAAAGATGGAGAGTTACGTCCTTGTATTGACTACAGGGCATTAAACAAGATTACTATAAAGAATGCCTATCCCATTACCCTTATATCCGAAATGTTTGATAGACTCCAGGGTGCTAAGATCTTTACCAAACTTGACCTTAGGAGTGCATACAATGTGGTGAGGATTAGGGAGTATCACGAATGGAAGACGGCATTTAACACTAGGAGTGGGCACTATGAAAACCTTGTCATGACCTTTGGATTATACAGTGCTCTGGCCGTGTTTCAGGATTTTATTAACGATGTACTCAGGGACTATATCTATTCATTTGTTCTAGTTTAACTGGATGATATGCTTATTTTTTCCCAGACCTCCAGACTCATCATGAACAAGTTAAGGAAGTATTACAAACATTGCTTGATAATGGACTTTATTGTATACTTGAGAAATGCATATTTGATCAACATGAGGTTCAGTTTTTGGGGTATAATATTTCTGCCTCTGGTTTCCAAATAGATCCTCGCAAACTAGAGGCCATTCTACACTGGCCGTTACCCAATGGGTTAAAAGCCATTTGTAACGGATCACCTGTACTCTGACCGAGTATCTTCCGTTGATGGACACTTCCTAGCTTGCGCCGAGGACCACAAGCACCGCACCGGACACCACAACCACCGCAGATTGCCAAACCGCCGTAGCTTAACTGGAGTCTCGCTGTCTTCCTTCCACCCTGGATCAGCTTCTGTCCTCCAGGACCGTGTCCTCCAGGAGAGCGTAACAGGAACAGCTCTTAAAAGAGCTAAATGATTAGAGCTCAAGGGAGTATACAAAGTAAAGAAATCCCCAGTGTGCTTATAGCAGTTCCCCTCCAATCACGAGACAAGAGTACGTATTGAGGGTCAAACAGGAACAGAATGCTCTGTGTTACAAAAGACTCGAAATGACTGTGTTACTGTTTAAAAACCGATTGATACTGTTACCACTGTATATGTTTAAGCCAAGGGAAACACGAATGGATTACTCGAACCCTTATAAAGACTCCATTCGTGATACGAACGAGGGACCTCCCAAATGCTGGCGTGTGCCACCACTTAACCTCGTCACCGTGCAAACTACCGAACGGTCGACCACCCGACCAGCTGGTTAACCACAGCCTAATTGATAGGCCTGGGGGGATCGACGTTCGCACCCAAAGTACCGAAGGGAATCTACCGAACAATCAACCGAACGGCGACCCCCTACAGTGGGTTGCGTGGCGATCATTAACCTGTGGTTTCTGCGGTTAACCGCAAATCAAGTACCATTCTACCAGGTGGTCCTCGTTCATGTACCGAACGAGTTCCACTACCAGACAGACAGCGGGACTTCGCATGAACTGCTACCCGAGTTTAGTTCCATGAGTTGGAAGCGAGGTCCCGCTGCCCGCTAAACCGTCTGAAAACATGGCCGCCAACAGAGACTCACAATCCAAAATGCAGAACGGACTTTATACGGCAGAAATAGCCCATTCTGTTCGTGGGATTGGAGCGCCATTCGTATGGTTAATGTATCCGAACGCGAGCCATTAGATGAATGGTACAATGAGCTGTTTTCCTTTATTAATGTTAAAGTTATGGATTTTTATGCAGTTTTCGGGGACATAATAAAACGTGGTCTTTTGTGCGCTTGGAGATAATTAGATTGTATAACCGTTGGCCTCATTATCTCCAAGCTGGGCGGTACTAATTCAAATAATACACTGTATTGTGATTGGATATTTGTCTGTACTGTACACAGGGGGCTGTCCTTGGACCTGAGGAATCACATAAATTGCCATGCTATGTGCCAGTAAAGCCAGTTCGTTTTGACCCTCAACTTGCAGCCTCGACTTATGTTGTAGGGATCCGGGCTATTGATGCTTATACCGTGCTTGGGGATATTCTACACTTACAGCTTACTACCGAAAGACCTCCGTTCGACTCTCTACAGCGGGAACCAGGACATCCAAGCGATCAACCCTCCTGCTAGACTGGGGGCAATCGTAACACTCTGAGGCTTTATTGCTGCTTATATACACATTTTCCCACAAGGTTACCACCCACGTGGACCTTGTAGTACACAGGACACAAAGTTACAAAAGCCAATCAATACAGTACAGCACAGTTGTTACGGTTGCCTCCAGGCTGGCTGGAAGTTGGACCGTAGAAAAGGATGCTCCTAGCGCTCACCAAAGGACCATCAGCACCGTAGACACCATAACTACTGCGTAGCCACCAGAAGTACTGCAGACTCCACGAACCACCGCTGCTGGGCTGGTATCTCGCCGTCTGCTCTGTGCCCTGGACCCACAACCAGGCTCCAGGTTGCAGTAGGTGAACCTCTTCCTTCTGCAGAGCGAAGCAGGATCAGGAACAAGAGCTCTTACAAGAGCTCAGTAGCTAAGGGAGTATGAAGAGCATAGCAATCCCTGTAGTGATTATAGCTGTCCCCTACAAACATGAGTCAAGGCTGCAAGCTAGAGGGTCAAGAAGATCTGAGGTGCTGGCACACCCAGCCTGGTTTTTATTACAGTCTTGCAAATACAGGACCGCCCACAGGGAGGTATAAAACAACCAATAACAAATGTACATTACAGAAACACTCCCAGCAATTACACACAAAACTCCTCCCCTCTGCCTGTGATCTAATTATGTTGCACAATGGGTTAACATAATTAAACACAGGCAGTAAAAATACAGTTTTTATACATGTACTATAACTTCCAAACTACACATCCAATCTTCATAAAAATACATATTTAGAATCAATCCATTCAGGGGAGCAACATATTAAAAACTGGTACAAATCAGACAAGGGGTTCAAAAGTTAGCCAAAGTATCTTTTGGGGCCTAGCTGGCAGCATGGTTTTCTGGCCCAAACCGGATTTACAGAGCCCTCTATCCTGGACAATGGGGGAAGTAATCCAATTATCCAGGGATAGAGGCAGACTCCATTAACCACATGTTAGCAAAAGACACAAAAAGACACAAAAATGCATAACTCCTATCATACTGAACAGAACCCCCACATTCAACCTATCCCCAGATGGCTTGGATCTGAGCGCTCAATATATCCAAACAGCGCTCAGATCCCACAAATACAGTCAAATCGCCATACACACTAGGTCCATAGTCATGGGGCAGAAGGCTGGCAATTAGGTTTCTCCATAACACAGGGAAGCAGGGCAATTTGTCAAATAAAATAACAGTTACAAATGGCAGTTTGTAACATATCTCCCCTTTTGGAGGGAGACTAACCAGGCACCTGACCTTCTGTCGGTCAGTGCCTAAGTTAGTCTCGCAGCCCACCCACAAATAACAAGTAGCAAAGTAGCCCCCCCGCAATAAAAAGTACTGGCCTGTAGGTTCCAGGTTGTAGGATGAAAATGTAGCATCCTCTGCCTTCCTGGTGCAGCTGGGCAAATAGCTGGTGGTACTTGGGGGGCAGAGGCCAGCGGCACTCTGCCCTGACGCCAGCGCTTCTGCTGGGGTGAAGAGGTTGCAGGCCAGTCCTGCAACAAGGGGGTCGGTAGGGCAGAGGCCAGCGGCGCTCTGTCCTGATGCCAGCTCTTCCGCTGGGATAGCTGGCATAATGTCACGCTCTGTACAAGGGTCAAAGAGAGGGCAGAGGCCAACTGCACTCTGCCCAGCTGCCAGCTCTTCTGCTGGGGGAATTGGGGCATAGTCCTGCCCGGTGGCAAACGGAACGTGGGGGTTGGTGGGGGTCGCCATCTCCCCTGTTAACCCTGGGCCCAAGTTAGGAGTTGGCTGGGGAGGGGAGAATTGGCTTACCTCCTCCTCCTGATACTCCTGCGGCCGCTGGGGAGGGAGGTCGATGCTCTCCACTTCCTGTGGAACATGCTGGGGCTGGGGAGAGAGACCGGTTGTCTCCTCTCCCTGGAAGGCACACTCCGGCTGGGGAGAGAGGTCGATGCTCTCCTCTCCCTGTAGCTGGGTCTGCCGCTGGGGATCTGGGCCGCCTGCCCAGCATCCCTGTAGGGCCGGTAGAGAGACTACGGTCCCATCTTCACCTGCCTGTTGGGGGTCCTCCCAGGACCAGTCTATGAGGTCTGCTGCCTCGGGTACCTCTGGTTGGGGTTGGGGAAGAAGACCGGTTGTCTCTTCCCTCTCCATGGTGCACTGCCGCTGGGGAGAGAGGTCGCTGCTCTCCTCTCCCTGTAACTCAGGCTGCCGCTGGGGAGGGAGGTCGATGCTCTCCGCTCCCTGTAACTCACCCAGGGGTTGGGGATCTGGGCCGACTGCCCAGCATCCCTGTAGGGCCTGTAGAGAGACCTCGGTCCCATCTCTACCTGCCATCAGAGGTTCCTCCCAGTATACCTCTACGATATCCTTCCAGCTGAAGGACTCTCGATCTGGCTCTGCTGCTGTGCTCTCTAGGGGGACCTCTGGATGCTGTTGAGGAAGGGGACGGGTTGTCTCTTCCCGGGACCCCTGGATGATGTGCTGGTACTTCCACTCCAGGTCACATTCCTGGGTGACTAGATACCGCAGGTCTGCTTCCAGGCCAATAGCTCTAGGGAGTCCCAGCTTGTCTTCCCGGTCATCATACAGGTCCCAGAAACGTGAGTCTGTAGCCCTTCCAAAGTCATCATCGTCCATATTCTCCCAGAATAGATCAGGGCCATTGTAATCCCCACACTCAGGGAATTCATACTCAGCTATCTCTGGAACAAGCGGAGTCGCGTACCACTGTAGCGCCTGGTATGCGTTGTCGAGCCACAGTTCACTGTATACTAGATCCTCTAGTTTAGTCACCCACACTGGAAGGGGTTGTTTGCCCAGGAGGGGCATCCGCTCTGCCATTCGAGCTTGGATTTGCTGCCCTCTGCTGATTCTACGATCATCTCGCCAACGCTGAACTTCCTGTAGGGCTTCTTCCCACAGCTCGGCTCTGGCCTCACTTCTGTACCCACACATCTCCTCTTCTGAGACTGCCCCATCTTTCCAGGATAGGAAGCCATGCAATCTGTCGAGGAACCTCTCCTCCATTTCGGCTGCTGTGCACGGACTTGCTGGCTCCATGCTGCTCTAGGTAGGGACGCTGCGTAGTGGCTAGCGTTGCCCTCAATACTCTCTCATATGATACCAGTGCTGTTGGGGTGCTGCTCCTTGCGCTAGGACGCCATCCCACCGCTGCCACCAAATGTTATGGTTGCCTCCAGGCTGGCTGGAAGTTGAACAGAAAGGATGCTCCTAGCGCTCACCAAAGGACCATCAGCACCGTAGACACCATAACTACTGCGTAGCCACCATAAGTACTGCA